TCATTACATTGAGGGAGAGGTGCATGTTGTTAACCAGCACTCTTCAGAGATACCACTGAAGTATGCTCTATGTGTGTCGCTCCATGTCTTGAGATGCGAAAGCAAGATAGGCTTTTATCTCAAGTATTCTCTTTTTGCCTTTGAGCAATTACTGATCTTGGCCCACAGACTCTTCTTAATTATATCTTTTCACATTCCCTTTGAAACTCTGCCTCCCAGATCCTGTTAGGCTTTTACCAGAGCAGTGGGACATTAACGTGCAGAGGTACTAAGCTGCGGAGGGATTTGCATTAGGAAATCACTTTAGACTGACCTATCACTTTCCCTGATGAATGGTGAACATCCACAGACAGCTCAGCAGCGTGTTGACAAGTGTAAGGGACCAGCAGCAGTGCTGTTACACTCTGCCATGTCCGTACCACTTGCCTGTAATGTCTCTGTGATGGGACACAAAGCCTCAGCACTGCCATAAGGCAGCAGTGGTGGGAGAGTGGCTGGATGCACCCAAGAGTGGTGCAAGGACATTGGGTATTGCAGGGAGAGCAACCAGGGGCAGCCCCCGGGTGCACCTAGCAGCACAGCATCGTGGGTCGCAGGCGCCTGCAAGCGAGGAAGGAGCCCAGGACCTGTCCCAGGGTCTGGTGATGCAGAGTGGGACCGGTTCCCCTAACACCTCTCAGCTGCTTTCAGGAACTAGCTGTCATTTGGGGATGATGTAGGTGGATCCCACTCACCCAGAGGTGGTAAACCAACTCATAAATTTGCAACCGTGAGGCCAGAAAGCCTTGCAGCATAGGTGGAGAACAGAGACAGAGGAGGAAATGGATGTGACAGAGTGTAGCAGAATTTCTTGGTAACCTCAGGCTGATGACACGACTCAGTTTCCTGAGTGGGTGAGCAGAAGTTCTGGACACGGTTCATGTGCCTCTGCATACATGGCCAATGGCAAGGCGTCAGCAGGTGAGGCGCAGGGATGCGAGGCTTTCTGATCTGCATGAGCTGATCATATCAAACACAGTCTATAAATCTAAAGTTGGCCGTGCAGCAGAGGCTCCTACCCACGTCTGACTTCGTGTCTGTTCTGAACAAGTAGGTCATCAACACTCAGCAGATGTTTTGTTGCTACTTATGAGCTACTTACAGAAGCACTCTTTTTAGAAAAGACTGGCACTGAGTTCCCTTTTAGTGCCCCTTTTGCCTGTAATCCTCTATTTGCATCTTGTTCAGGCTGCACTTGTTGGAACAGTACCTGTGTTGGAGAAAGCAAAGGCTGCTAAACCCATTTATTAGCAGTTGCTTTCTAAGCCTCAGGTTGTTATTTATTTATTATCTTTTTAAAAATACAGCAAGCTGGATGGTTTTCTTCTTTCTTTTGCCTCGGTGATGAAAACAACAGATCTATTAATATAATTTTTAATGACTGTTAATGTGCCTCTTCACTTTGATCATCCTGATGTGATACAGAAGCAATCAAATCACAATGTGCCACTGGAATAACAAGCAAGTAGTGGAACTATAGCCAATAATGACATATTTGTGGATAAATTCTTTCAGGTGAGTTTGGGGAATAATATCAGGGTCATTAATTGAAATTGGTGAGTCGCATCAAGATGACCCAGACAGTTTACCAAATCTTGAAGGTGAAGATCTGACTGTGCCTAAGCAGTCAAGCTTAGTGGTGGCAGGGACTCCCTTTGGCTGTCACAGATTTATCAGCAAAGTGGACTGAACACTTATTCTCCTGGGCTACAACTACTTAAGAGAGAAAATGTCAGCGATAGGTAATCCCCACACAAAGAGCAATACTTTACAAAAGAGAAATGCTAGGTGTGCCTTGGGGGCTGTCACTGGTTCTCCTCTCAGCGATGTCCAGCTTCCAGTCACAGAAAAATGCTGAGAGGGTTGAATTCGTTAGCCAAGATTCTCAAGTCTGATAAGCACAGACTTTTTGCTCTAAGTTTAAAATTTTCTATTCTTGATATCCTAAATTGTCTGAATGTTTACACAGGAAAAACAAAACCAAACAAAAAATAAAAGGCATGATGTGGAGGCATGGGATGGAGGAGTGGACATAAAGGACCTTACAGGTTCTGGAAGTGCTCTCTGCAGGATAGGTGGTCTTTATTTCTCTTTTTTTACTGGCACATTCTAATCCTTTCCAGCTTTGCCTGAAAGAGTTGTTATCTGTCACTGCTGTCCTCAGTTTGCATTCTTTTGTCCTCTCTGAACTCAGACCTTCCCTCTGCAAACCCTGGCCAGGTTGGTCACACTGTGGTGCATTGCAGTAAGAGATGCACAGGCTTGCAATACATAGATTTTTCCAGGTTTTCTTCTGTCCTCGGTTTTTCAGTGGATGAGGTTGACGTGCTGTGGGTTGGCACCACAGTAATTTGTTCACATGTCTGTATCCACAGAATACCATTTGCAGCCTGTCAGCAGCCCAGTGCAGGACAGTGTGTTGAAGGAACATCTTTGCTTGCCTTGATGCAGGCTACAGCAGCATCTGCTGCATTGTGATAAAATAAGTTTGACTTTTATGTCTTAAAAAAAAAAATCTAGCACTCATCATATTTCCTGTGACTAAGATTTTTCCAGGTTCTCTTGTAGTATCTAAGTGAGAGAGAGATGCCTTCAGAGGTCCTGCAGCTCATTGCTGCTGATTAGTGTGAACCGTTTGGGTACAGGATCACTTGTTTCTGACCCACTACAAATGCAGAGCACATGCTGTGAGCCCCTTCATCCACGGCGTATGGCAGGGCCCAGGGATCTATGAAGGAGGTGGGCAAAACTTCTTCCTTTTAGCAGCCCCAGTGCTCACCCACATTCTCCTACGTGACTGCACATCCAAACCCACTGCAAATCCCAAGCATCTGCATGTTCCTGTGCCTCTCACGTGTCCATGGATCTGTGAACACCAGTCATTCCTTACAGCGTCATTTCTTCACGCACACCATGTAATTGGAAGAGCTTAACAGCAGGGAGGCTGATCTCTCAGCCTTCGGGCCTCGCAGTTGCTCTGATCATTCACCCTGGCCTTCCTGCTAAGCACAGGATGTGGAGCCTTGCCAGGTGAGCCCTGAAGGAAAAACAGTACCGTGTGGCTGAGCTACAGACCCTTTTCCTAAGAGAAATTTGGGATATCTTTTTGAAGTCTCCAAGCTGTGGAGAAACCACATCGTCAAGCTGCTCCTTCATATCAGGAACGTGCAGCTAATTTCTGGTTTGAATGGATCTCACCCCAAATTCCAGTTGCTGAAAGTCATTGCTTTTCCACCTGCTGATGAAGAGAGCCTTCCAGCTGATCCCCACCTTGGTAAAAGTACTGACTGACTGAGGTGCCACCCACTAGTGTCTTCCTCACCTAAGTTCTTTTAGCTTCTCACTCTAGGTGAAAGTTTTCCAGGACTTAGTAAATTTCATCTTCATGACCTTCTTCCAGGTTCTCCACCTCTTTTTTATTTTTTTAATGCTAATCTGAAGGTCTCCAAGAAGTTTCAGCTACTCTTAGGAAAACATCTCCATACAGGTTAGCCCATGCATGGATTTCAAGAGTATTTTAACATAAGCAATTGCTGCTTTTATCTTCTTCTTACTTTCTGCCAGATCAAAGTTTGTTTATTTATCACCATTTTTTTTCCAGACACAGAAGACAAATATTTAATGAGCATTTTTACCTCTTCTGCATCATTACTAATGACTGACACCATCCCTGTCTAATAACAGTTCTGTACCATGTCTACAATTTCTGCTGTTCCTAAGAGATGCAAAATATTCTTTTTGTCCTTATCCCACTGTCCTTAAATTTTCTACCTTTAGCTTCACATGTCACTTTGGATGAACAGTTAATTCATTGTTATCAATTTTTCCCCTTTTGGTCAAATTCATTGGCTCAAGCAGGAGGAAGCCTTAATAAGTTAAATACTCCAGACCCAAATGGGACTGCCCCATGGTCAACACTCAGCAGACCTCTCATAAACATCTCCTTGATGTGCACTTGGATGGACAAAACTAGGCAGCAGCTGCTACGGGGCCCCTGGGAAAGTTCCTCAAGCTGTGCTCCTCGTCCAGTCCCTCTCATGTGCTCCCAAATGCACACACACCCCCATAGCCCCCATGTTACACAGACACGTACAGACTCTGCAGATACCCCCATTCCTCCATGCAGTTTGGCCGAGAGTCCAAGTTTTTTTTGGGAAGGGGTTTTTTGCTATGCTTTGGGGTTGTTTCCCACCCCCCGCTTTCAGTTTTTAACTAAAGGACAGCTTCGGCTTGTGACAAGAGATGAGACTTGACTTCCTCCATCCCTTTCTCTGTCAGCCTTTTAGCCCTGAAGAACGACGAGGCAGTGATGATCCTGTGCCATGTAATGCTGGAGGGAAACTGTCTCGCAACGGTGGTCACCCAGGCCTGGAAGGAGATGGAAGAAAAAGTCCTTGGGTTCGGAAATTCGGTAAAGATACTGCTGTCCACCTTTGACCCCCAGTGTTTGCAGGGCTCACTGCAGTGCTGACCACAATGCTCCAGCAGCCAGAGCTGGTCAGCACTGTCCTTTCAGGTGTCACCTCCTGGGAGAAGCTGACCTGGGTGACCAGGGAGACAAGCTGCAAGCCAGGGATATGGGAACTCCTCAGTCTCCTTTTTCCCTGCTGACCTCCCCACTGCATCCACCCTAGGTGTGTGACAGCCTTGGGCGGCGTCACATGGACCTGTGCCCTGACTGCGCTTTCTGCTCACTGAAGATGGAGCAGTGTCAGAACAAAATCCTGCACCGTGTTGACTGCAAGACAGGCAGCTTCATCACCTACATCAACCCTCAGATCTCAGCCCAGCACCAGGCTGCAGGCAACAAGGTACGGAGCGTGCTGCACATCCTGCTGGCCTCTGAGAAGGAGCCTGGACTGGGTGGTGGGAGAGGAAGAAGCATGACTCTCTTTATCCCACCCCTTTGCAGATCAGCTCCCCAGAGACCCCACAGTACTATGACATGGAGATTTTCAGAGGGCAGAAGGCAGAGTACTGGTGCAGCCGGCTGGCCACCCATGGCTGTGAGGACTCTTATGTGAACCTCTGGCTGAAGGCAGAGCACACTGCCTTCCAAGACAGAGATGGTCTGAACGAGGTGAGTGCCCAGTGGATACTCCCATCCCTCCTTCTCCTCTTCTTTCTCTTCTCTTCATTCCCTTCTCCCCAGATCTGCGACTCAGACGGAGTTCAGTACCCCAACTACTGCGTGTTCAAGATCCACCAGTGTCTCCAGCAAAGCGTCCACAACCAGAAGGTGAGAAGCAGCCTGCACTGCCCTTTGCACAGCCTTCTTCTCCATGGCTGGTCCCTCCACAGCCAGCCCTGAGTCCCTGCAGGACTCACTGGCCCAGTGCTTTTCCCTCCAGTAGGACAGAACTGGGTATGTTTTGGGGGGGTGACAAATAGCGACCCAAGTGCAGCTGGCATGTAATTGAGGTGGTGGGATTTGCACAGACACTGTAAGAGATGGCAGCAGAGACAGCCACTCATGTTGAGACAGAGGAGCTGTGGGGAGCCTCCCACCCATTAGGGTATCCCTGTATATCCCTGCAGGCAAGGGTCTCCTCCATCTGCTGGGTGCTACCCAGGTGGTAACAAAAACCAAAACCACTAGAACAGGACAGAGGGCTAGCCCACACTTTAGGAAAACACAGAGTTCAGCTATCATCCTCTCCCTTCTGCTTCCCAGCTGGTTCTCCCGTCTTCCTCTGGTGCCCCCATCATCCCAGCCTCCAGATGCCATCCATAATGGGGGTCCCCTTTCCTTGGGGGAAGTGTGTATCAGTCCGATGAACTCAGGCTCTCCTTGTAGGTGTCTCGCCATGGCTGCCTCAGAAATGAGACGTACCAGGTGGTGAGTGAGAAGGAGGGAGAGGAGAAGGTGCAGCTGTTGTAACAGAGGTTCCTCAGCCTCATCAAGAAGTGACGCACAGTAGCAAGATGATGCACGGGAAGCACAGGGCTCTGGAGCAGGATCTCTGGGGCTGTGGTGGGGCAGAGGGCCTTGGACAGACTTGGACAGCTCTTCCCAGACCCCTTGCCAGCCAGCCAGCTCATCATGGGCAGGTCTCAGCCTCCAAGCACCTGCTCCGTGCTGCCAGTGGCAGCAGCACACCATGAGCAGAGCCTCAGTTAACAGCATTTCACTGTGGCATCTGCTGGAACATATCCTGAAGACATCTTCTCCAGCCAAAGGAGCAGCTGAGCATTGGAGAAGGCATCAATCCTGAGAACCTGCATTTAGAGCCACTGGCCCAAGCATCCTTGTCTGAAATACCCAGCGCTCGCTGTTGCCTCCCTCCCCCTGCAAGCTTTATACAAGTCAGCAGTCCTCCTAAGGATGTCTTTTGTTGTATTAAGAGCCCATTCACCCCACAAACCTAATTTGCTCCCTTCTTTCTGATGCCGCCGATCTATTACACCCTTCAGTGACCCCTCTCATGTCTGAGGTGGGTCCCCATGCCCCCCCTGCTCCGCGCCCTGGTGTTTCTTGCTTGCTGCAGTCCATGCATCCCCTGAGCACGAGGACTCCAGTGTGGCCTCGTCCCCTCCCAGCCCATGGGAGGGAGCAGTGCCAGGTACCCTCCAGGTCTCAAACACAGCACCTGAGGAAGGAGCTCACGTACGCTCTTTGCTTTCCATTGCAGCTGGTTTATTTCTAAAGTTGAAGGGTTTGCTGGGCTTGTGTCCTCTAACCCTCCATCCAGAAAAGTAATTCAAACCACAAAAAGCCCAATGAGGCTGGTGAGAGGGTGCTGTGTGGGGAGCACACAGGAGCTGATGGGCACCCCTGGAGCCAGGGGCTGCTCTGTGGCAGGGCACCAAAACCCCACCTCTCTTCTGCTCCCTCTCAGGCTGTGTGTCTCCCCCACACTTGACCCTGCTTCCCTGTGTCTCTCCCTGGGCCATCCTCTCCCTGTGGCCCTGCAGTCCCCCCGCAGCCTCCCGCCACCTTCCCCATCAGCGGCAGCTGTGCACCTCCACGAGGTGCCGGCACTGCTTGCACTTGACGGAGCAGCACCAGCGAAACTTGCAGCTGCATCGCTCCACCACCTCCGCCTGGGCCGGGAACCCCCTGCCACAGCACAGGAGCTCGCAGCCATCCATGGCTGGGGACGTCCGGTTGCAATGGCGGCCGGAGGTGCCGAAGACCCCGCGCCGGGGGTCCCGGTTGCAGAAGTCTGGGCTGGCCAACAGGTAGACTAGATCATGAGGCGTGTAGGGCTTGAAGAGAGAGCTCTTGGGCACCAGGAGCTTGCGGGAACCTACCCACTTGGGGTGAACCTCCGTCGCACCCTCAAACTTTTCCTTGAGGACATTGCCCACCTTGCGGAAGGGAGGCATGACCTTCCAGCATGTGCGCACCTCGCAGGAGCCCGACACACCATGGCACTTGCACTCCACCTTCATGTGGGCCAGGAGAGCCTGGGGAGCAGGAGACAGCTCCCAGCTAGACCCAGGACACCCTGCCCTACACCTCCCATGCCTGCAGGCCCCCCAGCGGCCACCATTCCCCCCCACACCTCCCATGGGGCTGGAGTGCAGGATCAGGGGAAGGGAAGGGAAGGGAAGGGAAG